ATTCGTTGATACAAACCAATGAAATGAAAAGCTATTTCCTTTGTTCTTTACTCAAGCTTACTCTTTTTTTTTTTAAGATACTGGAAAAATAACTTCTGAAATAGCAGATTATCAAGTGAAGGAAAATGGAGGAAACACCATTAGCTTTTCATCTTCAAGTATATATGAAACAAAAAATGTGGAAGTCATAGTAGCATTTATGTTTGGCCTGCTATAAGAATTCTGGGTAGTACTTAAAATAGCATTTAGGTTGTTTTAGATGCAACAACTGAGAATCTCATTCAGTTCTCTATATGTCTTAAGAATGTAACCATTAATGGGTAAGGTACTCGATTTCTCTACATCTATGAAAAAAAGAGAATCAAAGCAGAAATGCTATTTTTAATACAGCTTAAAGATGGTTTGCCTTTAGCAGTTGTTTAAATCCTACACAGTGTGATAGGGCTGCCTGAGCTTTTACTTGCAGCACTTTTTTCTTTTGTAAGCTACTATGTGAAATTTAAAGTCTACAGAATGGTAAGAACTTCTTTGCTGTAAAATGGGGATTGTTGCCATTTCTTAATAACATTCAGTTTAGTATGATGGAAAAATTACTAGGCAATGTATACAGAAAACATTCAGGGATAAACTTGTTTTCTAAGTAAAAGGCAATGCATATAGCCAATTTTTAAAACTGGGACTACTATTTTGCTTTTCAGGACCTCTGTATCAGGGTTTTTCAATTTGATTAAAAAAAAGTGCAGATCGGTGAATTATTTTGAAACAGCTATAAATGTCAGTTATGATTAAATATTTTATATTAGCTGCACAGTAAATCTAAAAATAACTGAAGTTCTGGATTAAGCAGCCAGTTGTCTTACGTTCTCTCACCTGTTTTTCACTGCTACACATATCTATTAATGGAAATGTCTATAGATAATACAGCAGATTTAGCAAGTTTTTATCCTTGTGTCCCAGCAATATAATTTTAAAAAAATATCTTAAAGTTTAGCTCAGATTTTAAGAATGGACAGACATAAATGCAGGGACTACTTGTGAATGGGTGTTTTTTTCTGGACACCCTGAAACATATGTAAATGGATTAAGGCTACATATTCTCTGCAGGTATGAATTACTAAACTGAACCATCAGGTTTGCTATTGATTTGAGTTTATGTTGAGTTGGCAGTAGTGTTTATGTTAATTCTCAGTGAAATTGGGCTAAGCAAGCTCTTTCACAGTGTTAGAAGGAATGGCTTACTTTCTACTGAATTTGTATAGAAAATGTATCTAAGAAAATTAGAAATTCAAGGTCTGGCTTTTTTTTTTTTACACTATTATACTTAGTGTACAGATTCTTAACACCAATGAAATAAACAGTGATTGGGCTGCACTGTAGTATAGTTGAAACAAATGTACATCTAATTGGAAGATTAACAAAATAATGTTTTCAGTATATGCTCAGATTATATAATTCTGATCAGTCACAGCCAATTGTATCAAATTCATTAGTATATTGAACTTAATCATTTTCATATTTGATAAAGCATTTTCCTAGATTAAAATTCAGTAAAACATCCTCTAAAGTTAAAAGTTGTGGTCATGTTTCTTCTACATTGCAAAGGGCAATGTGATTTATTTTGTACTTCAGTAATGATTCATAAATTCATTTTGATAAAGTGAATCCTTAAGGCCACGATAAAGTCATCTGAAGTTAATTTTTTTGTGATAAAGTGGCTGGAGTAGAGAAAACCTATGGCTTATTTTTGAATATTGAGAATTTCCAAATTGCTTTTCAAAGAAGAATTCCATTATAGAGTTATATGCACTCAGAATTCTGCTCTTTGTTAAATTTAACAAGTGCTCGAGTCATCCTGATCCAAATATGCCTTTCATTTGCAATGAATACACATTTCTTAACATTGTGATTGTTTATTATCTACTGAACCCTTTCTGGATAGTAGTATCAGACAATTACATATTAAGTTTGGATTTTACCTCTGTGACTCTAGAGCTGGCCAGTGATAAACTTTGTCTCAGTATTTACCTTCTGATAGAGCTCGTCTTTAATCTATTTCCTGGTAGCAGATACTGATGGGTTGGGAAACAATACTTGTACTATTTCTGTTTTGGATAAGTACATGTAAGCTAATTCTTTCTATGAAAGAAATGGACATTTGTGTTTATTTACTATGTCAGTCTGTGTTTTTAAGTGTAATTGCTTTTACTTCAGGAATATAATGAACTGCTGCACCTGTCAAATTATTTAATTGGAATAAATAAATATTGCAATCTTTAAGTAAGGAGCTGAAAATCTTGGTCTAAATCTCTGCAGTTTTAGAAAAACATAAACCAGCCCCCCCCCCCCCCCCCCCAAAAACGTTGCTGTTTTGTATTGCCAGACAAAGCTCAGATTTCTTACTTCTCTGTTCAGGCTGTTTGGAGAACAGAATGTATTTCAGTAAGAATGTACAAAAATATACAGAAGAATAGATGGGTTTAAAAAAAAAACCTGTTACTGTTAATATACTAGTTGAAAACATGTATCCTCATTTGGAAAATTGTTTAACATTTCACTAAATTACATGACTCAGAATTGGGTAACTCTAAATGCCTTCAATTAGTATGATGTATCATACATAGACTGATTATGAGTGTGTGTAAAGTACTGCTAACAGATCTTAAAAGAATGGCAAATACAATAAAAAATATGTGATAACATGTTTTTCTGACCTTGCAGCTAAGAAAGTTGGTTTTGTTAACCAACAAAATTTTGAGAAACTTTTTAAACACAAGTTCTACATTTGATCAGTTCAGATTGCAAGGAAGAAAACTCTTTAGAACATTCTAGTTAACTGTGTTTTTGGGGGTTTTTTTCTTTGATGTTAATTTCATTACGTATTAATTAATAAACATTCCAGAACAGTGATTTTTGGTAAAAACTGGATGTATTAGGGGAAAAAAGTCATGTCATATTGTTTAATAAAGTTTACAATAAAATTGCTTCTAAGTGTCTTATTTCTTTAAAATGAGCAATAGTCTGATAATCATAGAAATGGGGATAAAGAGTTCAATTCTGAATCCAGGAGGATGAACTCTAGAGTATCATGTAGTCTGGACAGGACAAGAGAATGAAAAATCAGTGTGTAGTGAGTTAAAACCTTACTTTGTTTTGCTGAGGAACCAAATAAGAATACAGCTATTGCCATTATATGAAAATAGTCCATAGTCCTAGCTGTTGCACTTAAAAAAATTGTAACTGGGTGCTGTATTCTATAGCTTATGCAATTGTTTGGCAGTTTTATTAGTTTTGGCATATTTGTCACTGTGTAATAGAAATATAAAAACTGGAATCTCAGGATAAATTTAAGTAATGATTTAATCCTTCGGCAGTGTTAAGCATGCAACCACTCAAACAGTACTTGCAAACAATATTAGAGCTACCAAATCTGAATTGCAAAAATCCAGATGTTACGGTTTCCTGTATATATTTGCTGCCATCTAGCAGCTAATTGGATTTTTGCAACCCAAAATAACTCGATACAACATGCTTTACTGAAAAACTGATTTCTATAGCTGGAATAGCAATATCTGTAGTACTTAAAAGTTTGTGAACCCTTTTGAATTTTATAATGTTTTATTGCCATGTACAATAAATAGAATATTTTTGGCTATCCAAGAAATGAGTCCAAGAAACATCAATAAGAATTCAGCTACGCTATATTTTATGCAAAGGTTTGAAAACTATGGTGAAAACAGTATAAAGTGGTTTGCTTTTCACACTTCCCAGAAATGTTGTGGAATGTGAGCTGCATAAAGCACATAGAATATGAAGAGAAACTCAAAGTATTGAGGAAAAAGGTGAAGAGACTGGACTGGGAAAAAAAAAAAACAGTGGGATGATAAAAGGGAGATGGGAACTTTTTCTTCATTAAAGGTATACTGTCTAACCAGCAGCAAATATCCAATTGAAAATAAGCATTTGATACCATTAAATACTTAAACATTGCTCTAGTTTTGAATGCACTCATTTGTAAAGGAAGAACCGAACAATCATATGCAGAATCAATTTGGTGGAAGACAAACTACAAACTGATGCATACTCATTTTGCCAAAATTGCTTACAAAATTGGAAAACATTCATACAAAAACAAATTTGAGAATTACAAATGTGTGGTAAATATTAACAGGCCCATCTATTGAAAGCAATGATAAGTTAGCAGCCTGGGCAAACAGTGCACTTCCGGGTTTTATTCAACTAGTCCTATGATATTTGAAAGGTAATATTGTTTCTTAATGTGGAAGTAATTGAGGGTTTTTCTGATTCTTTAAAAGCTGCTAATTATCTCCAAATGTTAAACAATGCATCTGTTCACAATGAATAATTGTGTCACATGAATCTTTCTAAAATATGTAGTGCTGTAGTTAAGTGCTCTTAAGCCCTTATGACTGTCTGATAGCATTTAACTTTAATTTTTTGAAAAATGAAAATTATCAGCTTGAAGTAGGTCCAAGTGAAATGGTAAAACTGAAAACTAGTAATTTATTATGAGGTGGTGATTATTCTGCTTCACGTTTGTAACCACTTGGGTGAACTCAAAAAATGAACAATTTAATAATTATATGTTTTCATAAAATTCTAAAGAAAATAAGAATGCTTAAAGTCTTGTGGCTAGAAAACATTTTTCTACATATGTATCAGTTTAAAAATGAGCTCAGCTTTCAGGAGGAAGTTTGCTTTATGTTGCTTGGAAACAATTCTTCAGGGGACGGCTCACGGGACAATGAAATAAAGGCATAACTATTTCTGAGACCTCAAGGAAGGAGATTAATGAGAAATACTTCATAAGTCTAGTTCATATGCAACTTTTCTTAGCATCATTAGTAACTTACAAAGTAAAACAAAAAAACTTATTTGGCAGGCTGCTATTATCATTGTCTGCTATAAAAATAATTCACATCAATGAATAATACAGTTTGTGTTCTCCTGTGAACTTTTAAGTTACTAAAAAGTTAAATAAGTCCTGGAAAAAAGAAAACATTTACTATAAGAATTGTAGAAGATGGTGCAAATATCAGATACATTTTTTAAAAATGGTTTCAGATAATGTAGAATTGGAAGAAAGCTGACAGAAGGGAATGAGAATTTTGAAAAAATTAAAACAATTCTGTACAAATCTCAGTATTAACATGAATGAGATAGCTATGGAGGATGAAATCCTTAATTTTTGTCTTTCTTTTGTTAGGCACACTAGATATAGGCAATAAATATGTTAGATTCACAACTGTTGTGTTTATTTAATCAAGTGTGTTAAATGAAGCACAACTGACCAGAGTCACACAAGCTATATGCCATGATTTATAATGGCCGGTTTCATATTACAAAGCTATAAACTATAGTTTACAGACTATATGACTGTATATGAAGTCATGCATGCCAACATCTCAGTTTCAGCCTCACATGAGGGACAATAAGCCTAATTACATAGTTGTTGCAATGATCAACAGCTAGCTCAGGAATGGAAAAATGGGTCTAAGCTGAATTTTAAAAGCCATCTGGAAGTATTCTGTCCCCTTTCTGACAGAACACATTAAAAAGAAGGTAAGAGGTAGAAAAGAAGACAGTCTATAGATTTCTGGCTCTTGCTGTGTTCAGCATTGGCCTATGGGCCATGATAGATATCCAAGATGAAGTGGTGTCCTTGGAAGAGAAATCAAGTTCCCCATCCTCGAATGAGATAAGTGGTCTACAGCCTTCAAGCAACAGGATGCTCTTATTTTTTAGAAATGCAAATGACCAAAACTTCATGAGAGTTCAAGTGAATATATACAGATTTCATGAGATTTGACTATCTCCCAAAATCTCAGCCACTTTTAATTTTGGAAGTCAATGATGGGTGTCCCTTCACTAGATCTTCAGATTTTGTGTGATAGCTAAATCTCATGAAATCTGTATGGGGATGAAATACCCCCCTACCAAGCTCAGAGAACCCCAAGGACTCCACAGATGAAATACCTTTTAAATTGTATGCAAAGTATCCCTATGATCAATACTACTGTGTAACTCCCAATAGCTAATAGAAGCTAATAAAAAGAGTGCATGAGAAAGAGTTGATAGAAACAATTAAAGACACCAATAGAGGCGAGTATGTGTAGCTCAGGGTTGAACTGTGGAGTCCTTGGGGTTCTCTGAGCTTGGTTCTTT